TATTCCATCCTAGCCCATTCCATCTCATCGCCGGTCAATTGCGGGGCCGGAGGGACTAAAGGCACGCCGTTTTTGGGAGAAGCTCCCGGACGCAGGTGTGTGTGGCGCGGTGCCGGAAAGCCCGGGGTGGCCGTTCGCCTTCGGGAAAACCTGTGGGATACCGATCCCGCTGCGCCTGAGGGTCTGGTCAGTGCTGCATCACACCCYCCCCATCCCACGCGCCGCTCCATCCCGTCGGGAGCAGACAAGGAGCTGCAGGGCAAGACAACTTGGAGGTTCCAAACTAGTTTTTTGGGAATGTCCTGCTTGCACAGATGAGCCAGACGTCATACACAGACATCGGAAGGGTTACAGAAGCTGACTATTTAGTCCTAGTTGCAGCCTTGGAAAAATGTCATTCATCTGCACTCYTGAAAGGTTTTGCATCTGCTTGTARAAATAGTATTATGTGGCGGAACTTAAGGAACTTCTCTGGTGCTTCACTCGCGGGTTCTCGAGTAATGCTCTCCAGATTGCTTCTGAGAGATGCTGAAGGGCTGCCAGGGGTAGTATTTTGACAAAGCAACTAAACAAAGCCCTTTAACGTAGTCTTAATTGCCGTGGTCACTCTGCTACTGGATTATTTTCACCCGTTGCTGGGTAGAAATTCCTTAATATTTCCTATTCATCAGAAAAGTGATTTTTTTTTTCAGAATTAAAAGATTACTTTGATTGAGACCACCTATTGTGTGGCCTTGCTGTATATTCTGGTCCCCACCCATGATGCACCAGCATGGGTAGAGGATGGCATCACAAATCTCTCATATTCCCATGCTGCACAGCTTACTGTTTAGACATACTTCTCTCATTTGCYTTCACAATCTTTCTGTACAAATATTGGTCATTTTTGATCATTTGTGTTCTAAAGCAAYTRCCTTCACTTTCATTTGATTCTTTTAGTGTACAATGAGTACTGTCCAGTGGCCAGGAACAACTCTGCTGGCATCAGTGACCATGTAACAAAGGGAGTTGCCGTTTTTTTGTGTTAGGTTGATGGCAGAGCCTATCACCAGAAGCAYTGAAGAGCAGACAGCCTCTGGAATGTCAGAATAAGTGGAGTAGGAGCAGCTTCCAAAGGCAGAATAATTTTTCTTCTCATGATATTACACTGGAATTCACACTGTAAACGTGACAGTTAGAGGAGTGGCCTGCACTGCGCTACTGCATTTTGATCCTTGTGCATGAGTATCGTGCAGTTTCAGGAGTTTGGTGTGTGTTGGGAGGTGTTCACGACCAGCAGCTGAGATAAAAGGGAAGGAGTCTCATGAGCAACATTTGCAGCAGCAGATGTTAACATCTGATAATAGTATCTATCAGTAACTGGAAAAAATACAGTTCCTTAAGCCTTTTGTAAGAATTACTGTTTGGACTAMAGAAAAGCATCAGTCAGTTGACTGCTAATTGCTACCCTTACATTCATTTCTTCCCCTTGTTTCCAGCAGCCCCTCCCTTTTACATCCAGCACAGCTGCAAGATGCTTTTGTAGCTGCACTGTGTTGGTGTACATTGTACTTCCCTTGATCTGCCCTCACCAGTGGAACATCTGTTACCAGCSCTGTCAACTACTGGTGAACTACTAGAAACTATACTGGTCTTAAGACAAACAGGTCCARCATCTGCACTGTGTTATTGCTGAATTCATTCTAGTAACTGAAGGACTGAAAATTTCAGACCACAGTACAAAAATCTAATTTGAGAACTGGAAGGATGTCACAAAGGTGGAAGCACATGCACCAGTCTCTAGGAGACAACTGGTAGGTCAGCCCGTGGGGCCAGCAAACATCCTGCACAGGTGGAATGGGATTTCACTGCTTCTTCTTATTTGATGACAGAACACTGTTCCAGGTAACATTTTTCTAGCAGTGTGTGGTGGTCATGGAAATCCCTTCTGTTATCCAACATGAACCACATCATTGGGTATCTAGAATTTCCTATTACTCCACACTTCCTTCTGTCTTCACCAAAGGAAAGAACCATTACCTCCCACTCTCACAGTCCAGTGGATTCTTTGAGTGTCTTCTGCTTGTGTCCTAAATCRCATTTCCTTCCTCAAGACTGTCTTTTTTAAAATCTTCTCAATATAGTCGTCCTTTTTTTTTTCTTCCTCAATTACTTTTACTTCTTTTCCCACCACTTTTAGGGAATGTAGTGAGTTCTTTAATTTTTCCCTCATTCAAGGAAAGGCAAACAAGACCACTGAAAACACAGAAACTGTTCTGTTGATGCTGCAATACCATTTTCAGGAATGTGTTGACTGTTGCTGTAGTTGATTCATTTTTTAACTCACCACCCACTACTCTTACAAACCCCGATTATTAACTGGTAGATTGAAACTTAAGAATTTCAAGTAAGTATTGACAGGTTAGTGCAGTATACTGCCTAGAATCAATACTACTGAGGATAAGGAAAATTATGTCCTGTTAATATTTGTTACCTAAAATGTTCTGCTAGTAGTAAAATATACTTTATTACTATAAGTAAAAGCAAACGTGAACTATTATCTGCAGCTGTTCAAAAACAGAAAAGAGAACTTGGATATAGCAATTCTAGCACTATTCTGTAACTCTTTCGTAATGATCACCTTGTTAATTCTTATCACAATCCTGCACAAGTTACCACTGTGAAAATAATTTATTGTATATAGTAAACATCTGTWACAAATAATGCAGAATATGTAGTTCTAATATAAATGTCTGAAATGCTCAAATTTCAACAAAACCTGAAATAACACAAGATGTGATTTTYTTTTTAACCATTTCTCTTAAAAATTTGGACACTCATTGCATTGAGGAGAAAGCAGGACCATAAAGCCTCATGTAATTGATGAAGGAAGTGGRTAAGAGGAGAGAGAAGAGTAATGGTTATTTTCTTATTTCTCTTCAATTTTTTCCACAGTCCTTAGCTGCCTTACAATACTTGAAGAGTGATCTATCGGACTCGTGCCATGCAATAAAGATAATATAAATTATCCTATTCTAGTCAAGTRATTGGCAGTCTTTTACATGTTCCATCAGAATGACTGGCAGCTTGTCTGTGGAACATCACTAACAATCTCCAGTGAATGGCAAACTGTTGAGGTCTATGTTCTGCTCATGAGACAGACATCAAAATTGTCATGTGCAGATGCAATAAATTGGTAATGAAAAGTGGGATAAGACCACAAATTCTGTCTGGCTTTATGAATGTATGGAGTCTGGYATTCTAGAGCTTTGTTTTTATGTATTTGGGAGTTGCAAGCATGGCAGGTTCAAAACTATTGTTTCCCTTCAGCATAATTATGCAATACCGTGGGATTTCATACATACAAAACCACGAATAACTGTAGCACAGCATAGTTCCACAGGTTAGGATAAGATATGGCTGTATGAGGTTGAATACAGTTTTCTTGTCTTAATTGAACAAACAGTTTAGTCAGACTGGGGTACTAAAATGAGTCTGTCTTTACATCAAGATGTAATATGCCATTTGCCTTATTTCATGTCTCTAGGGAAGTGCCAGACAGTGCCAGATGCCAGGCCTGTTACAAGGCCTGTGGCTATTACAAACATGGAATGACCTTTCAGAAGAGCATTCAGGAACTTGAAATGACAGATAAGATTTCAATCCATGTACTATTTTCTCCTACTACTTCTACATGACATTTTTTTTTCATGCTTGTTTGGAAACTGCTTCACTTACAAGTTATATATATATATATATATATTCATTGAATTTACTTTTCCATTTGTATGCAATTATATTATAAACAGTAATATAGAAGAGATAGCAAGTTTTTCATACAAATGATTTAGGGATATTGTACTGTTAGTACAAGAAGTACTAATAGTAATACTGCTTTTTTAACAGTGTGTGAAGAAACTTCACAGCGCCTATTGAAATAAAAGTGGTGCATGAACAGACTATATGAGATAGCCATCATGCAGGTAATCTGTAAAAACAAAATTTAACTTGGGGGAGAACAGACTAGGATTAATCAGATTATCAAAACAAACATAATATCGAATAAAATTAGAAATGACACAATTAAACTCTATCCATCTCGTCAATTGTAACAAGAATGTAAGTTCCATGGCAGATTTTAGAAGAGACAGATACAATATTGTCTCTCACAATGTGATGTGCCTGTATTTTATAGTTTACATGGAAATGTATGTCTGTATAGCTAAAGCATTTGCCCAGTTTTATAAGCATAGGTATTAAGTGTCAATAGGCCATAAATTTTGAAAAAATTATCTTCAACTTTTTTTATATTGAAAGAAATTCCTCAATTTCACAATAGTGAAATAGTTCTTGAAAATAGCTGGTACACAGTAGTAAAGTCAAAGAATGTCACTGATCCAGTRTCAGATATTACTACCCTTAGGCACACATTGAACTATTCCAGTATATTCTGTCTTCCCCCAACTCCATACCTTGTCTGTACTAAATAAACTTGCACAGGAAGTTGGGTTTTGTTGCTATTCATTCTTTAGGAGTAAAGTACTACTGCTGCTTGGAGYTTGACATTTTTCCTGATTACTGAATGATAATAAGAATTAAGCAATAATAAGTACCACTTCTTACTGAACCTATGAGATTTTTTACACAACACTGCTCAGATAACCTTTCCTGTTTGTGTGTGTTTGTTTATAAATTGTAAATAAAAGTAACACAAYGAAGTTTTGTCAGCTAATCTCCTTTCAGTTTGGTTCCTTGTGCATTTGCCAGATGTGTAACTTAGTTTTATTGCTTGTACAAAGAACTTCAAAAAAGCTGAAAGAATTTTCAATGACAGATAAATAGATGCAACGTTTCACCTGTCGTTGACTGTTAGGCGCACTCTTTCAGTGAGTCATTTTACAGTCTACAGAACCACTTTGCTTACAGTGTGAAAATTATGATTAAACTGTGCTGTAATTAAAACCATATTAAGTTAAATAGTCTAATTACTGAGGTTTTTTTAAACCAAAACATTAGAATAATTTTACTGAGATTGAAGATACTTTATTCTTTTCAGATAGTTCATCTTATATTACAAAAATCGTTAGAGGTCATCTCGAACTCCAAAACCTGGTCCTTTGGGTGGTTCAGTCAGAGAAGTAAGACCACCAGCTGGCTCACAAGAAAAGCGTCCACTCCTGAAAAATGAAAGCAGTTTTATTTATTGCTGGTATTGATAAAAACTCAGATTCTGTTCMATCGTTGGATAGAAGACAGTCACAAATCTTGACTTAAGGGTGAGGCTACTATTTTCTTTGCTCTTGCCACTCAACCATCAAAAAATGTGTGATGTTAAAGTGAAAGGATTCCAAATTCAAGTAGTGGCAAATAATTTTGTAACTGAAATGCAAGCTAGGACCACTTGTTTTCTCTTACATTAGTTTATAGGCTGGCCAGGCAGCATCAAATTTTATCAATCATAGCTTTGTTACATACGCTTCCCTGTGCTTTTTTGAAACKATAACGGTTTTAAGATTATTTTTCTTGTATTCAAAACATCTTTATAGGATCAATAGAAGTAAGTAACACCCAAGTCAAATTAATTTCCCCATTGACATAGGTAGGCTAACAAAGGACAGTAGGAGATAACAGATAACAGTCATGACACTCTCACAAACGTACARTCTTTTTCATCAGAAATCAGAAAAAACAACCCAACCAGCCAGCCAACCAACAGGCATTTGTTGGTTTAAAATGATCTAGACAAAAATTCTAACAGGTGACACCATTCACCTATTAAGTACTAAGACAGATCAGAATTCATTTCATGCTCCTCTGGTCATCAGGAACATGCAAATTCTCAGTTCTTTGCAACTTGTTTGAGCTTTGAATGTATGCACTTCTATTCAGTAAATTTAATTAATACTTTTTAGATGTACACTGTGAACTCAAAGCAATGAAAAAGTTAGTTTCTCAGAAGGATCATCCTTCATGTAGGTGACCAATATAAAAAATACAATATATAAATACAGGATATTATATATTATAGCTTATTATAAATAYAGCATACCTTGGGCCTGGTTTGGGAACTTTGCCAGCCTTTAGCTCATCAATTATGTCTTCAATATCTTTGGGTGTCAAATCTTCCTGTAAAAAAAAAAATCATTGACRAACCTGAAAAAGTCCTTAGTTATGCTGTTTACAGCACTTCAAATTYATCAGATCAGTGACTCTGCAGTGTGTCTCTTGCACAGGTAATTTTGATCCTATCCATTAACAAACACACTGGCCTAAAGAACGAGAAAAACTGAAAAGTCTACTGTCGTTTTAACGCTGAGATTTTTGTTTCATGTGTAGTTGCAGAAATTATGTTCAAACAAACAGTGCTGATGCGGGCCATGTACAAGGGTTTGTGTTTTCAACTTCCTGGTATTAGGGAGTTGGATCTTTGCCTACCCACACACTATGACACACACTGCAGAATGGTGTTGGCTGCAGCAAAAAGATTTTGGGTACAGTTCAAGACAACATTTCTTGAACTACTTCTGCTACTACTTCTTCTAATACTACTTCTACAACACTTCTACTACTAGTCCGTACTTTCCAACAGACTACTTTAAAGTGCTTTCAAAAGCTCCTCAAATACCTATTTAAAAATACCAGATTTATGGAAAGACCACAATCACAAAAATCCATCACTCCTCTTGTATGATCAAGACAGTAACTGAAATGAAAAATACTCTGATGCACCTCATACAGACAATACAAATTAGATGTGTTCTAGGAAGAGGCCAAGAAACTAAAAGATGTTGTAGGTAATAAGTTGTCCCTGCCAATACAAATCAGAAAACCTGACCACAACTTGAGAATCTGGAACAACTGGAAAATACAGGTAAGCCAGCAAAAAAGCTTAATCTTTTCAAAGGGAGTGTAGTACTTACATAGTAATTGTCATTTATTTGTACCATTGGTGCGTTTACACAAGCACCTAAACATTCCACTTCTATCAGCGTGAAGAGCTTATCAGGTGTCGTTTCTCCAACTTTAATACCTAAACCAATAAATTAATTACACTCAGCAATGGTTACGAACAAGAGTAATAAAAGCATTAATCTAAGTACTCCATGGACAATGCATTACTTACATTTTGGCCTTGAAAACATCTGCAAAGTTAAACCCCCTTAAATGAGTCCAAAATGTTTCCATTAAACAATTTTCTAATAAACCATAAAGTCAATTTTCAGATTTTTGAGATCTTGTTTACAGGTATGATTCACTGAAAAATAATTATGAAATTACAATTCTACAAAACACAACAGATCTACTCAAGAACATTTTTAGTAATATAATGGAAAAATAAGGAAACAGTTTTTATATGCTGATAGGAAATGGATTAGTACAGAATGTTGAATATTCAGCTTTTATATGCTGGTAGGAAATGCATTAATATAGAATATTGAATATTCCCAAACTAAACAAGATCCATACACTGTTAGCTACAAATTMATAAACAACTTCCAAGTTTATACACAAAGGATGGTTTATTGAACTGTACACATACTAGGCATGTTACTGTTCTACGCTAGAGATACACTTTCCCCAGAGATAAGTCAGTCCAAATAACATGTCAAGAGTCTGATCTCTACAAAATACTCCATGGAAAGAAAAATGCTGAAAAGCAGTTTTCCTCCATTTGTTAGTARGAAGGGGTGGGAAATAATAAAAGTTGTAAGGTCTGTCTCAGTAAAAACTACAGAATCATTTTGCTGCTTTGATTTCTGAAGCTGAGAGTTTCAGTTGARATTAACTATCTTTGTAGTAACCAGACATTCCATCTAAATATGTGTTTTTCAGGCAACAGAGTATATGAAATGCCAGATAATACACAGCTGTTCTGCTGGTCTTATCACTGGTTCTCAGAAAAACTTAACAGCTTTTCCTATAAGGGGAAGAGTTATTAGTCGATCTTACCCTCTCTTCTCCCCATAACCACCCAAAAAGAAAAACTCCAACCCACACACAAAAGSCATGAGTACTTCTTACATCCCATATGATGTACCCTTCTCAACTGACCTTCTCCAAGGACATTTTATAAATTATRTTAATATCATGTTATCATCCAGAGGGTCCTTGGCAGGTTAAAGAGGTGGGCCCATGTGAACCTTAGGAAGTTGAACAAGTCCAGTTTTTTCTTCCGCCATATGAAGAATTTTACTTCAGTACCATTAAACAAAGGTAAAAAAAAAGTGTATTACAAATTTGTATCATACCAAGTTTCTTCTTAATGGCTTCTAAAATGCTGTCAGAGTCTCGCAGCATGCATGGTGTGGTGGTGCAGACCTGAATGTGGTATTTTCCAACAGGTTTGCGATTGTACATGGTGTAGAAMGTTGCTACTTCATAGACTCTCATGGGAGGCATTTCTAAAACTTCAGCAACCTGTGACAAGGGGAAAACATGCTATATTGAATTCTCAGAAGGCAGCAGTAAAGGCATTTAGCAGACCATTTCAGTCCTGTTTGCAGTAACAGATAAGTAAGAGGGTGGGGATGGGTATCAAAGCACAAACACGTTTTAAGTGCCAAGATTGGACACCTGAGTTTCTGAATGGTGCCACCCTGCACGACAAACTCCACTAAGATATRGATTAGCACAGTGAGGAACTCAAGTCAGCTCCCCTCCAGGATCTATTGTCAGAAAGGGGATGTGAGGAGTCAGCTGGGCTTGGGTTTTCATTGTCAGTTCCAGCTCACATGGCACTTGTGCTGTGTGAATAAACAAACCTTTATGAGCCTGCCCACACTAATCCACAGAAGCCTTTTGGTAAGGAATACTTTTAAGCTGGTACTATGCTCACCTAATTCATACAGAGCAGGTCCCCCTCAGGTTCTGTGACACAGCAGGGCTACATCTGCAGATTCCTGTCACAGCTAGTAAGTAGAGAGTGAAGCATGATCTCCATGGAGTTCTGGTGCAAGTATCCCTGACCTCATTAACYGGGAACCCTGGCAAACTGTTCAAGTTGAGAACTGGCTCTGGTTTCAATAGTGTAACTGTTTTATGTTCCAGTTTCTATACCAGGCAAGTATCAAATCATGGAAAAWATCTGTTCACTTAAAAGCCTTAAGATCATTTTAAGCACAGTATCAACCTAAARCTTAAATAAGCAAAAATACACTGACAGTATTAATGACAATTTGAGGCTTTATGTTATGCTGTATAAACTGCAGCAGATGTAAGTTGCCTTTCTTTAAATGCCCATTTAACTCCTTCAGTAATTTCTCTATGGCTCACAATCCTCACCTTACTGAATTTAAAACTTTACATTTTAAAATTGATGCTAGGCCAGATTGTAACACCAAGTACAACAGATTTATTYATATTAATATTAACAAGAATTTTTTTATTTCTTGGTATTTGGTTACTGTCATGCAGTCTCTCACTTTGGAGCAGTGTTTGCCTGCTWATTTTGAAACAATTTTAATAATTAACCTGACAAGTCTTCTGGGCACTTGCTGTGAGGTGTTACCCAACACTCCTGACATCTATTACACAAACACTGCTCTGCAGAATCTCTGGAGGCCTAGAGATTAAGTGTAATCCAGCCAATGTGTGACGTGCCATTAATCTGGAAGAAAGAAAAGTCCACTGACGTTACTTTTTTTTTCTTTCCCCAAATTCAGCAGTGAATCAAGGTTCTGTTCCTAATTCTAGGATCATTCTGGGAGAAGAGCCTATCTGAATAGTTTTTATTTAATTTATTTTGTTCTGTCTTTAGTTTCTAGCAATGGGATAATATTATGTAAACAGGGCCCTCAGTTTTCTGCATTAGTCTTCCTTTTTATTTTTAAAAATGTAGTCACACAGGGAATTCTCACAATTCTGTGCCATTGTAAATTCCCACATTAGTAAACTTTGATTAATTAATGTTAATATTCTAGTAAGATATTGAAAGAAATCAGCAAAATTATGCTTGAAAGATAATTAAGCACTAAATACCTTGTTCATAGCTGATATGGGCAGCCATCCGTGCTGCCTTTGGGCCAAATCCAGTACTGCCATGACAGCTGCAGACTTGTGTCCCTCTGGGTAGTTGTTTAGGATCGCTTCTATTCGCTTTTTAAAGGGCAAGAAGGAAAACACATCACTACTGATCTAAAGACAAAGTCTTTGTATTGAACTTTTTTTTTGTCTGCATACCTTTAGGTTTTCAGGTGTGAACTCAAATGGAGTATCTGGATTGTTTTCAGGACTATCTCTGTGCTTCAGGAAAAGAAAAAGAAAAACATGTAAAAATGGGTTGTTAGGAAATTATTCAGGCCATATTTAATGTTGTAAAATACCTTCTCATTAGACAGTTACAGTTSAGTTGCTTGAATAAAAATTATATATTCCAGTTAAAAAATGTCATAGGACTACAGGGATTAAATATATTTGGGAAAGGTATCAAAAATACTKATACTTATTTCATCACTCTTAAAAATCATTACCAATTTCTCTTCCTATTAAAAATTCTTTATTGAGAAATACATTAAATTGAGAAAATGTATGGTGTTGTTATCAAAATACGTAGTTTTATCACTGTTAATATAGTTTAACAATTATGTGCAAATTYGCAATAAGTAGAGTAAGAACACTCTGGTTAATACCTTAATAAACAAGAGACTAAAACAACACCCCATTTTTCCCTTTACCATGAAATACTAATTTAAAAGAACTTCAAAATTCATCAAGAAACTTGGTACAGAATTAAAACATTTGCACATTCAAATACATTAATTCATTTTAGCATGTCATTTTAATCTTTAATGGATTTCAACATTTGCATTTATTTTACAATCACGAATCAAAATGGAAGAAACAGAATTTTGAATCAGTATTTCCAAAAAAAGGTATCTATCAAGGTATTTCTAAAGTGGTCTTCTAGGGAGACATCCAATCTAAATTAATTCTTCTATTTTCAGAAAATACAAATATGGGAGTCTTGAAGAAAGTAACATTTTCCTATACTACAATCTTAGTTCTGATGAAAATCCTTTTCCACCAGAAAATGTTCCTGTGCAGAATTTTTAGTTGTCTCTAAGCAGCTCGTTATGGTTTCCTTTTAATACGTAAAGCTAAGTTTAATTCCAAACTTTATGCAGTTTTCAAACTGAGAAAGTTTCAAATTAAATGGAAAGTTTGTGGGAAAATGCTATACTTGAGGCTTGATATTAAAAGTAATCCACAGTAAGCTAATGAAAAAAGATTTAAAAGTGTATTTTGAACAAAGAAATCCCCTCCACTGACTTCCACTTTAATCATTTCCTCCAGTAACTGCAGGTGATTTTGCAGTTGCCACACTACACTCTTCTTACTAAGCAGCAAAGGATTTAATGAGAAGCCTTAACATTGCAAGACACTTGCAYACTGAAGTGAGTATATATCATCAGTGCACGACTTAGAACATGTGTGGTCCATAGCTATTCTTGGATTTAGTAATTTTAATATGGAAATATTGCAGGGGCAAATACTTCAATTACATCTGTTGATCTGTCCAGGGATTACCTTTGCTTATTCCACCTACATCCCAAAGCAAACAATATGTCTGTCACCATCAACCTGAAAGTGGGCCCTCATCACACATAAAACTACAGTCAATAAATATTTCTCCACCAAAGATGACTTTCCTTTCCTATAAGAACAGGAATTACAGAAAGATAACTGATTCCCTTTAACACGCTAATATTTTATTAAACATCAATTTCTTGCTTATTGTGTGGTTTAGAAAGTAACATAAAAGAGCTTTTATGAACATTATTCCCATTATTTCAGACTGACCATTCCAGATACAGGATTTGACGACTCACGTGTAGTGCAGGTGAGGGTTTTCTACCAATTTTAATAGAAACTCTCCAAAAGAGGCTGATGGAGGAAAAACTGATTGGAAATACTGTATAACTTTTATTATTTTTTTTCCTTTACAGACCTTTCCATGTTTTAGCTGCACAGATCATATCCATAAGTCACAGTATTTCCATAACTGAGCTTTYCTTTCTCCAGTCTGCAAGCCTATTTTGCTATTATTTTGACTTCTGTAACTATTTGACAGTTAACAATTGTACTTCATCTCAATTTCTTTTGCAAATAAATGTACTTGATTCATTAAAATCTCCCTCTTTGTCTAATGTATCATCTCTAAACTGATATCCTTAAATGTCCTACATGTGAATAGAARTAATAAAGACTTTATAATGGGAAGCTACATATGCAGCTGTAGTGAGGTTTCATGATATATTATAAAGGCTATAGCACAGGTGAGCACTAAATAAAATCATGCCACTTTTATGTTTTCCATTTTCCTGAAAGGGCTTAATCTAATTCTGTACCATGGAGAATCTGATAGTTTTCATCAGAGCTTACACAGTTCTAGGACTCCTGAGCAGTTAGTAATTTATCACATGTTCCCTAGCATTACATTTGTCTGACAATGTGCCATTTATCTGAAACTTGCATGCACTGACATGCTCCTAAATGACACAGGTGCATTTTCACATATTTAGGATACAAATTCWGGAGAGCAAGATCAGAAATTAGGACACATTATTGCAAAGAGTAGTACTATGTTAAATCACACACTGGTTGAATTTGGGAGTGACTGCTGGAAGTCATCTGGGTCAAACTACCCTGCTCAAGCAGGGACATCCAGAAATGCTTGCCCAGGACTGAGTCCAGATGGCTTCTTCTGAATATATCCAATAATGGAGACTTCAAAACCTCTTTGGGCAACCTGTGCCAGTGCTCTGTCACCCTCACAGTGAAAAAGTGTTTCCTGATGTTTCCTGAGGCCATTGCCTCTGGTCCTGTCACTGGATACCACTGAAATGTGCCAGGTACTGTYCTCTTTGCACTCTCCCTTCAGGTATTTGTACACATTGATAAGATYCTTCCCCAAGCCTTCTCTAGAAGTCCCATTCTTTTTTTGTATGCTCATGAGAAGAAACCACTATACTAAGGCTTCTTCCATACACAAAGTACAAACAATTAAAGTCTTTACCAACTACAGTAAATTGTTCAAAAGGAAGATCAAATGCTATCCATGCATTTTTYCAAGTCTCTTCTCATGACCCCCAATTTCCCCAAGTCTTACATTAAGTTTTCATTCCATTCATATGTTGACTATATCACATCTCTATTGCAGAATAGAGCCTATTTAAGTAGGAACATCTTTACAGCAAAGGCTACCCAAGTGACAGATGCCAGTGCACTACATGGAAGGCCCTAAGGCTGCTGAATGGTCACCTCACATTATTYTTGCTACACCAACCTGGCAGAGAAAATTTATTAAAGAGAACTGAAGACTTAMAACAGAATAATTAGAATAATTTAGTTTCCATGTATACTGCAAAAAAAGTTGGCCTGAAATTTGACCTGTGCCCTATAGTAAACACCAACCTAAAGCACTGTAAACCAAAAGGAGAGAATTGTGTGGTCTGCAGGGGAGATGTTTAGGGTAACAACTTSTTCAGAATTCAGATCAAATCAGCACTGAAAAAAAATTATTATTCTTCCTCTAAAGGGAAAGTACCCTACATTCACTACTCCAACAGAATTCAAGATACASACCCCTTTTAGTTTAAGAATGGTGGAAGTGCTCTCAGACCCAGTTRTTTCACTGACCATCTTCAGAAGTAACTAAAACTTGAATATGGCAATTCTTYAACCTTCTGTGCTGAATGCCCAGTGCAGCCCTATGACAAAGCCCACATTACGGCTAAGGACACTTACATTGATGTGCTAAGAAAACTCAGTCCATGTATTGAAAACAACAAAGAGCTAAGTTTTAGTTGTTAAGAAGGTAAGGTAAAAATCAAGTATAGAGAATGCAGATTTCAATGAAGATAGTTAATCATAGWAAATGTTTCTGGAATCAGGCCTTCCCTAGTCTTCAGAAATTACAGATTTGGAGCATCCCTCTTACATTCTTACAGGCAAACAATCTACCTCATTTTGTACCTGATATTCTCTCAGTGAAAGTGTGATGTAGATGCCTGTGATGGCACCTGGTTGAGTTTAGTGGTTGAGAGATGATAGGCTCTTTCTGAGTGCCTCAGAACACAAAGACATTTCAGTAGAAATTCTCTTATTTCTGTGTTTCTGCTAACATGTAACATGTTCGCAAAGAGCAGTATAGGCAAATCAAAAACGCCTCTTAATACTAGATTTTATGACAACTAGATTSCTTGCTGGCCTGCTATTACAAAACAAATACACAACATCCATTTCCSTTCCTCACACACAGATTTTATACATGGAAAGTGCAAGAAGAAAGAGCAGTAAGCTTTGTAAAATAAACCCAAGACGTATGTGTGTAAACTGACATAGAACAAAGACCACCATGACAGGATTGAGTTACTCCCAGGTAAGTCCATTATTCTTCCACAAGCAGTTTTAAAACAAACTTTTGACACTTCTTTTGCTTGTAACATTTTTAAAAAGAAAAAAAACCAAAAAACCAAAACCACCACCCAAAAAACTTTTAGTTTCTTTTTCCTCTAGAGAAATCCAGGGGAGCCTCATTTTCTGACTGTATATAAACACATGATGTTGATTAAAATAATGCCTTCGTCTCAAATCAGCAGGCCAAGTTTGCCATGAAATATGCCATTTTAAGTAACATCTGAAATTGAGTTAGAGCAAACAATTACATACACATACAGTGACATCCAACTGTCTTCTTCCCATTACCTTTTACTTCAGAGAAAAACASATACTATCCTATYAAAAAACAATGAGGGAAAAAAACWAATAAGGAAACAACCCCCCACAGAAMCAATTTCCTATGCTCCTCTAGTAAAAATTCTGCTGTGAAATAAYAGTAACTAATGATGCTATTAAATAAACAGCTGCAAAACATTCAGCTTTTCTACGTTCCTTTCTCTTTTATCAGACTCCTCCCTGCAGTAAGCAATTTAAACGATTACATAAATCTTGAAAAATACCTGTAGAATTTACAGAGTTATCTAACGTCATATGTCAGGCACCAATAGCCATTAGGGTGCCAAAGACACCTTTGGCCTATCTTCAACAACCTCCAATTACACTTTTTTTGGTTTCCTAAATTTCCAGACTACACCATTTCCTCTATTCTTTGAGTACCCACTCGCACCTTGTAAATCACCAATTCCTGTTCAGATTTCTGGAAAAGTATATGAAGCATATACTGTGATCCCATTAACTTCATTTTATGATTAAAGCTGTAGAGACAGCTGCAGAAAGGATAACAACGATGTGTCCAAAAATCCTGAGTACCTGTCTTCAACAGTGGTCCACTCTGYTGTAAAGGGCTGATTTTTAGAAAGTGTTGGGAAAATGCCAAGTTACTTAGCTGTTAAACTGCAGACCAGCTAAAGCTCTGAATGGACTAGAATGGGACAAAATATACCTCTCTTGAGATGCTTCAGGTTCTCTTCTGAGGTAGACAGACAACACAGCTACTTCATACACTTACATTCAAAGTTTTTTTAATTTTTGCAATACTACTACTGTTTATGCCTATCATGATAATGCCTAATGGCCTCAATTATGAGTTATTGTGCAACATATATATATATATATATATATAAAATATATATATAATATATATATAATATATATAATATATATTTATATATAATATATAATAATTATATATAATATATAAATATATATACATTATATAAATATATTATATATATATATATAATATAATTATATATATAATATATATATTGTTCAAACAGAACATGAACAAAAACTGTGCTTTTCAACTCCTGTAAAGACAGCTACGACCTGAGCCCATGGGTGATTTTGCAGCACATTTCAGAAATCAAGAAACTGCACCCACAAAAACTGTAACAAGCTTCAATTACACACTCAACTAAAATAAACAAAGAAAACAAGAACTGGTTTATAATGAAACAAAGTTTAAGCAAAGTCTCATCTGCAATCACACACAAATTACTGAGACTTTTTACTACATAAGGCAACAAAACACAAGGGCCAGAAATTAAAATAAAATCTTTTGATACTCCATTACAATTTTAGTGAAAGGTTCTACAAAAAAACACTCTTCTTTGAAAATGCCAGTGGGTTAATATAGCAAAGTTCTGCCCAYCAGAAGCTTTTAGGCAGATCTGAAAAAGCTCATTTTGAAAAAGCTCTTCTGACCCATCCCCCTCAAAGCAAATTACTTACCACAAATAAGGCTCCAGTAGCATTGCGTTCTGCTGTTCTATGCAAGTATCGGATCTGTTTTACCTACAAGCAAAATATAGTGCTAATAATTCACATACTGCTAGAGGCTGCTTTCAGAACAGTCTGATTTCCATTYTAACTGTAAACCATTAGCTCTACTGCCATTACTAATAATTTAAAAGAAGTCAAAAAGAGAATATTAAGGGCTCTCCTGTACTATTAGGAGAGTAAATCTCTTGACTCCCACATTGACCAATTCAAACAATGCAGAAATTAAAGGATTTAATTCTGCTACTGCCTAATTTAAGTGCCTTGAACACAAATTCTCATGCAACATTTCATGAGTAATTTCTCAATTTGTGACTATACATCCTAAATGCTTTAAAGTATGCCGAAACCACTATTACTACTGAAGTTCTTCTCCAGCAAGCATTTACATTTCACCTTTTATCGAACCAAACACTGAGAACTGGAGTAAGAGGATAAATGTAAACACGAACTTCAAGCATCAGCAGCACACAGACCCACATGCAAGTTCTGTTAAACTATTCTCTGCACTCTCAGACATGCCAGAACAAATCAAGATTTCTAGATTCTAGCCGGTATTTGTAGGACTTGATAATTTTACCACAAGCACTAGTTTTATTAAAAATTAATTTTATATTAAATTACGTTTCTTTTTATAGGGCAGTTATGAGATTTCTTGAAGTAGAATCACAGAACAGTATGGGTTGTAAGGGACCTTAGAGATGATCTCGTTCCAACCCCCTGCCATGGGCGGGGACACCTTGCACTAGAAGAGGCTGCTCAGAGTCCCATCCAASCTGGCCTTGAACACTGCCAGSGATGGGACMGGTCATATGACAGCAGAGGCTGCAGCCATCCCGACACTACACTGCAGATGCAACTGCCTGATCTGCTGCTTGAAACACTGAGCTCATCAGGCTGTCTTTGCAGGAGAGCCGGGATTAAGGATCCGTGATACTCACGCTTGGATTGCAGGCACCCACCTATCCCCGGGCCCCCGTTCCCTACGCCCCGCCGCGGCCTCCCCGCTCTCCCGCGGCCTCTCCGCTTCCCGGCCGGCGGGGGCAGGGACCCTTCCCTTACCGAGCGTGCGGCCGCGGCGCGCAGAGCAGCGCACAGGAGCATGGCGGCGGCGGCAGGAGCGGCGATCCCCGCTCCCGCTGCTCTTCCTTCTCCCGATCCCTCTCCTTGAGGCCTGGCGCTCGCCCTCCTCCGCGCAGCGCCAAGGAGACCCGCAGCGCGCATGCGCCGTGCCCCGCCGCCAGCGCGCCTGCCCGCTGTGGGAGCGGAGCTGTGCCGGCTGTTCCCGCCCGATCCCGGTCCTGTGAGGGTGCTCTCCTCAAGGRCTGCGTGGAGTTTTGGCCTTTCGTGACACGCACCAGCCTGGAGGAAACAAACTCCTTCGGAAACAAGGGGATGTAGTCAACAGCGCAGAATTACAGGAACCGGTGAAGAGTTTTTTTCAGCCCTGCGTTTTCCACCTTTCTACCCGCTTGTTTTTCGGGGTTTTAATGTTTGAGCTGTTTGCACCTGTCTTGTTCTCCTTGAGGAAARACAGTGAACACTGGTTGTCTTTTTGGCCTCTGATAAGCATTCTTACATGGCACCGTAATCCAGATGATAAGAGTACAAATGCTGGAACTAAAGATCATAGGATCACAGAATAGTTTGGGTTGGAAGGGAACTTAAACATCACCTGGTTCCAACCCCTGCCATGGACAGGGTCACCTTCCACTTGGAGCCYCATCCAGCCTGGCCTGGAACACTTCCAGGGATGGGGCACCCACAGAATACATCTACACCCACTCTGGTCTAGATGTAACAGGCTCTTCCTTAGATGGAACACACTGTTAGGAACATGGCTCAGAGAGCCATCCTTGTGCAGAGCCTTGATCATTCAGGKTTTGTGGTGAGRAGTGCMAATGTGCCTTTTTCACTGGAAAATAAAATCACATTTTTCAAATAACAGAAGGAAGACTCTTATTCCAATGAGTACTTGGCATTGCAGACTGGCAAAGCATCACCTGATGTTCCAATATCTCTTACCATATCCTCCTTCTCTCTGAAGAGGAATCTCCCCTGCACTCCTCACCCTCTCATCTGCCCAGGATTTCAGAGGGGCAGCCTTATGAATTTTGTTAATTTCACAGTGAAAATCTATCCATGTGTATTTCACTTCTACAAAAACTGATGATTTGCTAGCTGACATTGTGAGTAACAAGTATTTTTAGTAAATGCACAGTAGAACAAAAATTCAGCTTTCCTTAGTCTTTTACTTAATCCAAAACATCAACTTGTATTTTTACCTGCTTACTTATGTTGAAAGACCCTCTTTTATTTCATATAAATATTCAAAAAGGCAAGATTAACTACACTACAGCAAACTTAATTTCATTAAAAAGATTTCMTGATTATGTTACATATTTCTACTGATGAGACGATCCATCAGGGCACTTGTTGGGACTAAAGGCTGGGTTAGAGAGAGCCACAGTGGCCATGCCTATGTAGGTGCCTCTGGAGAGCTCCTGTAAAGAAACGTGTGTGTATGGTGGCACAAGTGCCATGGTACATCCTGACAGATCGCTCTAGAAAACCTAAAACATGAAGCAGTGCACATATTAGAACGTTCTGGGATATACTCTTTCAGATAATTGAACATATACATACAGGGATATGTACGTATGTGCACATATATATTTGGCAACTGTTATTTTAATTAATGTCCTTTTAACAGAATACTTTGCTTTTGCCCTGAGKATCAGGCAGGATGTACTAGCTCTGATTAGATTACTGCCTTGCCCTTAAYATTTGGCTCCCCTGTAGTCAGTGGTTGTCTTCCTGCTGCTTGTTCTTCGTTTCCTCAATGCTGAGAGATGCTATCAGCAATTGTAATTTAGGTGCCATTACCAGTATTTGATATTTTCATTTATTTGTTTTCACTAACTGTTTACTTGCTCATAAAACTCATTCCTCTTCTTGTATGCTTCCTTGAGGTGAATTCCTAAAGCATTWAAAAAACTGCCTGAAGAAGAGCAARTATAATGGTGCAGCAATGTTCAAGCACAGAYTACAAATTCTGTTGCTAAGCTAAATTTTTATATCCTGATGAGAATCTGCCCTAGGCATACAATCTAAGAATAGCAAAGGCCATATATGATTAGATTCAGGGACTGTTCCTRTGCAGATAAATTAATAAACATTCATTTTTAGACCATAAAATGTATAGTCACAGTAATTTAGTAATTATATGTTAGCCCAATATGTGTTTTTCAGTTGCACTTAATAAATGTGTTACTAGACAAGGAAAAAAATTGGAATAATTTTGTAATTTAAAATCAGTCTATTTGTGAGATGACAATACTGCAAAAACAGTGTGGCCTTGGATGGGAATCCAGAAAATGCAGTGATCTGCAGGGTGTCCCACTATTCCATGTGCCAAAGTGCCAAAGCACGACCTGGTGTGGCATTGTGAAAGATGTGCATACAGCTGCTCAAACCACCAATGATACCTAAAAGGTCTTTTATGCACCCCAGTGATCTCACACAACTCCTTTTCCAGTGTGACGCATCAATGACAGAAACTTCATTAAGGAAAAAAAATTCCCTGCATTTACTCTTTTGATGAGTGTCTGGAAATGCAGTAAATAATATAATTGTATGGGGAAGGTGTGCAAAGACAGGTGAGAAATGGACACACCACCTATTTCTGAAACTTTGCAYCCTGTCCCCAGGAGCCACACAAGCTCCAATTCCATAGGAAAGTAAGGAATATATAGGGAATTCTATTATTTTCTGCAAATGTAGGCTAGACAATYATTCTTGCAATCAAATAATTATTTSCTGTGTCATTTGATTTTTTYACTAGTATGCATTACTAGTAAAATAATGGCTTTCAGGCTTTTGGTTTAAATGGAAATAACACTAGRGACTGTGTTACTGTTATTTTGCTCTCCATTTTGAAATACAAAAATAARCAAATCAGCTTTCATTAATCTTTAATCCATTATGTACACATGTACAGGCATTCACTGTATATTTTCTGACATTCAAAAGTAGTATTTCCAGCCATAGCAGTACAAGTAATATTAACCAATCATACTTGAAAACATTAGATYTTTATTATAGAATCATAGAATCAGAGCRTAGTCTGGGTTAGAAGAGACCTTAAAGATCATCTGGTTCTAACAYCCCTTCAATGAGCAGGCACACCTTTCACTAGRCCAGGTTGCTCAGAGCCCCATCCAACCTGGCCTGGAACAGCTCCAGGGATGGGGCATCCACAGACACATGTGCTAACATTAAATAATATAAATAACAAGCAATTTGCAGTGTGGGGAGTGTGAATGTTGGCTAGCCATTTGAAGAGATTTTTTTGAARGCAAGTCATCTGGAGAGAACCTGAAAACTATCCAAATGGCATCACAAGCTTTTTATCCCATTAAAACACCTCAATCGGCTCYGCTGTCAGCTATGTAAAAGAGAAAAATTAAAGGCTATTAAGATCTCTCTGGTGTTTCTTATTTTTTTTTTTTTTTGTTTTATACATTACTATGTTCATATTTAACCTTTACAGAGATCTATTTTAGGAAGTGTGAAAACACAAGAGATTATTTTAAATAATTAAAACCTTCAAACATTGAAAAACAAAACATTCTCAGTTGCRATCTTCATCTTGCAACACTGTACAGAAAACTGACGTCTATACCCAGGAGTGTTTCAGGTGAAAAACTGTTGCTGTCCTTTTGATAGGTTAGATTTAATTAATCAAAAAAATGAGGTGTCCTAAGAGCAAAATTAGTGTAAAATATKATTCAAGACCAATTTCTATAAGCAAAGTAGAGACAAAGCAGGCAAGGTTTAACATATCCACTTGGATAACTGTAAAAATTGGAATGGATATTTATCCATTTATCCATTTATCTGGCATCACAGAAGGAACTCCTCCAAGAAAAGATGGCTGTATGGGTAGTGTAGAGATTGTACATGGAACCACTTTGGCAGAACATTTTTCTTCTGAGAAATAACTGCAAGAGGACAGAGACTSAAAAGAAAATGAGAAGGCACAATGGAACATGGAATGAAAATAACCCACGATTACTTTTTTTGCTGTTTTTCCAAAGGTATTGTACACTTTTGTAAGTCCCTTGACTGTATTTGGACTTTCTACAAATGCAGTTGTTTGAATATGCTGTAGCAATTTAAATTTCTGTTTTATGTGGAAGTACATTGTATGTTATGTATGAAAGTGTAAATGCACTTAAAGTTTAAAAAGAATCCTGATGTAAGATACTACTCAGATTATTTAGAAATATGAAATGACAATTTAAATGTGTCCATATAGACAGATAATTGTGCTGGCAATGAAATAATCATAATAGAATTAAGACTTGGTTACCGAAAGATGAAGATTTCTTTTAGAATGTGATTAKGAATYATTYAATTTATTTTACAGATAGAAAAATGTGAGGAAAATGTGTACTGACCTCCAATTAGCCACAAGAAATCACCAAGTAATGGAAAAGACCACAAGCCCACCAACCTGGCATCCTGTTCTACGGGCCATGTTTTTCTCCTCAACTGAGAGAAATTCAGTTCATGGTGATCAGGCATTCATAATCTCTGATTTGCATCACAGGAAAAAGTTATTCTCAATGAATAGAGAGGGATGAGGAGGTAAATACATTCATACACTTAGCATTAGACACTTAAATGCCCAGGCTAGGAGCCAGGACTCCTTTTGGASTTAACTGACCCTTGCTCTCCCTATGTACAGACCATGAAGAGCAACTTTCCTAAATTAGTCTCCCAAGTCAGGTAGCAAAAGCTGTAAGGAAGAACATCTTCCAAATAGTGTACACAATTTAATTTTAATTCTTACATTGCTTCTGTATTCAGGCTAAATATTCATTAAGCTGAAGAATGTTTTGATGTGTAAATAACTGCTGTAAGAGACACTGCTTCTCTCCTCAAGGCTAGGACAGGCTGGTGTGACTTCCATTGGCATCTCCTCACTTTCTGATGTTGATAATTTGTGAAGTTCAAACACCATTCAGAAAAGSGATCATCCTCTTTTTGCAGCAGCTTTGAACTTTCTTTATTTAAAAGGGCATCTAGAAYTATAATTAGGTACAGCTAGCTGTCCTTATTTAGCTCATTTATTATTTATATYTTCCTCCCACACTGCCTGTGAACCTCATATCTTGTGTTGGCAGAGATTGGAGTCGGAATGTTGCTTTCACAAGCTCCAAGTAACACAACAG